TTTCTCTGTCAGCGAAAATACACTCTTGATATCTTGACGGAATCAGGGATGGTAGGAGCTAAGCCTTGCAAATTTCCAATGGAGCAAAAGCTCAAACTTAATAGGGATGAGGGTCGCACCATATCCAATCCTATACAATACCGTCGACTCATTGGAAAACTTATCTATTTGACTATATGTCGACCTGATATATCTTATGCTGTTCATATTTTAAGTCAATTTATGCAGGAACCCAAACAGCCCCACATGGATGCTGCCATGAGAGTCTTACGTTACTTGAAATCTTCCCCAGACCAAGGCATTTTCTTGTCGTCAACAAGCTCACTTCACCTCTCTGCCTTTTGTGACTCTGATTGGGCTAGTTGCCCGATGACAAGGAAATCCACTACAGGCTACATCACCATGCTCGGCAACTCCCCAATCTCTTGGAAAACTAAGAAACAAACTACTGTATCAAGATCCTCTGCTGAAGCTGAGTATAGAGCAATGGCATCCACTGTTAGTGAACTACTATGGCTAAAGGCACTGTTGCGAACCTTAGGAGTTCATCCTCCTCAGCCGATTAAACTATATTGTGACAACCAAGCCGCTCTACACATTGCCACCAACCCAGTCTTCCATGAACAAACAAAGCACATCGAACTTGACTGCCACTTCATTCGTAATTGGATACAAGCTGGTGTTATCTCACCTTCACATGTCCGCTCTCGGTTCCAAATTGCTGACATCTTCACCAAAGCATTGGGAAAAGAGCAATTTCAGTTCCTTCTACGCAAGTTGGGCATCTACAACTTACATGCTCCAACTTGATGGGGGGGGGGTATTAGCTACATATACAGCACAGCCATCGCAGCATATCAATTAAGACCTGGATTCTAGGAAGCAATTACAGAAAGCAATTAATTAGCAATTGCATTATACCGTTAGAATATTGTATATATATACTGTACAAATTCAGCAAATCAAATAGGAAAAAGGCAATATTTTTCTATATGTTCTGCCGCTTGCTGCTTTTGTCTGATTTCTCTCGCTTAGGTATCGATCTTTACAGAGGAGCTTGAGAATTGGTTTTTTTTTTGGCTGAAGATTCAGGGACTATCCCGTGGGTGGGGTACCCTGAATCTGAAGCAAAAATCTACCTCTCAATCTTCGCCCCTTTCTTGATATATGCATTTGTGTTGATTGTGAATCCAGATCTTTAGAAATGTAAAACTGGTTGATGAAATGAAATATTTTTATCTTAATTTCATCCCAAACTTTCTATGATTAAGCAATTTAGTCTTTTAGTTTTAAATAATTTCAGATCAGTCGTTCAGATTTCAAATTTTAGTCAAATCGGTCCTTCAACTTTTGATTTGTTGCAATGGTGCTTGCGTGTTTTGATTTTGTCCAATTCAGTCGTCAAGGTTTTCAAATATTATAATTCTAACCGTTTACTCTTCGGGCTTACTTAATTAAGACTTAATGAATAAACAAGTTGAATTAAATTTTCAAATATTAAAGCCCAAAACGCCTATTTGCACCCTCCATTTATGTTCTTGAGAAACTGTATATTTCCATAGCCAGCAAATACAGGGCCAACTCAACCTTCGTTTTTAAAAGAAAGATGGATTATATTACCAAACCCATGAGGAACCCAGGAGGAAGATGATGCCGAGAGAGAGGACAAATTAAAATTAATTAAAATTATGCCAAATCATCAAAAAATAGTCCACTTTAGATTTTTAACGTCACATAATGTTTATGTCACTGTTTAAGTGTCACGTGTTTATTTTTTAATAATCATTAACAATGACATAAATAGAGGGTGCAAATAAGGGTTTTAATCAATATTAAAATATGAAATCATATTTCGCATGAAGAATTATGAGGTATGCATATAATTTTTTTTTTCTCTTAACAATACCCCTTGAACATTGATTTCTACATAAATTATATTTTAGATGATTTATTTTATTTTATAATTTAGATGAGTAAGGATTTCAT